AGAAAAACCGGAGGAGAGGCGGCGGCCGCCGAGCGGCCCTGACAGAAAACCTGCTCAGATACCTGCTTGGTATGGAATTTGTACACAGCATAGAATCTAAAGTATCAAAGACTAGATGGGTAAAAATCCTTTTAATAAAACAGGCAATTAATTTAAAAAGTTATTATGCAAGCAAACACTAAAATTAATGATTATCAATCGTGTTACAAGACCTTTTTTCAACTTGACTTTTGTCTGGGTTTCTGTTGAGCAGTTCTACTTGTTGATCCAAACCCCAGAGGTGGGTTGATAAGCAAGTGTCATCCTGAAATAAACTATGGACTTTTGGGTATAGCTTTTTCATCACTGGATATTTATTTATTTAATGTCTTATTTGTATATTTCATCACATATTGTATTTATAATGTTTCATTCCATTTATAAATTGATTTATGTATTAAATTGTCTCTTTTATTAATATAAGTATGATCCATGTAGTCTTCAATGGCACAGGTAGCACTGATTGGGAGCACAAAAGGGCTCAGAAGATTCCATTATCCAGATTTAGATATTATGTGTGTTATCAGCCTCATGGTTGTACTATATATCAAAAGTTAAAGGGGATCAAAAAACAAGTGACTTCACCATCCTTATTAAGCCTTGCCCCAGTGCTGTTAAAGCAAAATAGCTAAATAAGCCTGGTTTGATAATGCTGTCAGCTGAGCCCAGTTTAATAATGCAACATTGTTTTGCCTCAGTTATGGACACAGAGCAGACTCTCTTTGGAGGAGTTGTGAACCATTTAACAAATGACATTCTCTGCCAAATCATTCTTTCTTCTTGTTCTTGTTTTCACTGTTTTTGTCTGCCTCTTAGTAATTGATTTTATGTTAGAGCTTTCAGTTTTATTACCCCTGAATCAGGACCACTAAGACCACTGTATCAACCTGCTTGACACTCACTGCAACAATAGTAAATAAACAACAAACTGTAAGAATACTAAACAGTGAGATGATCAGGTTGGATTGGGTTGGGTGGGGAATTCTTGTAAAGCTTCAACACAGATAATAAAACACAGTGGAAAAAAACTTAGTCATACTTCAGCAGATACTGTTCAGTTTGGTGCAAAGGTCAGCAAAATTTTACCTTGCTTCAAAGCCTGAAAACTTTTGCTTCTGTAGTTGGAGCTTCTATGATCATGTCTCCGAAATGTCACTGCTAGAAGGTAAGTGAAAGGAGTACCAGTAAATGTCATTTCTCACCGTACGTCAACTGCATCCTCCATGACTGTCATATCCGTCTTGCACTTGGCTGAGGGGTTAATGGCGAGCTCGGCAGGGGGGATGACAAAGCTTTTACTCAGTGGCAGCCACATCCCTTCTCCTAAGGTGTATGTGAACCTGCAGAGGACATGAAGGGTACATGCCACAAGTAAGGTTACAGGTTTCGGCTTTTCTACAAATATTGTAAAGCTATGTCAAGTCAGTTGAATGCAGGTGGAAACAACTAAGACAGATAAAATGACGAGTCTCACTATAGACGAGAAAACATTAACTGTGAAGTCTAGGATATCATTTTGATTCATTTGATTGCGAGGCATAAAAATCTTTATATATTACTGTTTCTGTGTAAAAGTGAATAGAACGCTTTCAGATATTGGCATTATTTGGTTTGTAACCAGATTGGAAATTTTTATCAAACATGTTTTGGTTCATTCAGCAAGTCTGCAAACCTATGAGTTGTTTGCCTCCCACAGTGCAACAAGCATTGCGGGCAGTGACAAGACCTTCCCTTTCTTGTTAATGCCCATATCTTTGAAACTCCACACCAAAGTGTATTGTGCACTCTTTCAACTCAAAATTTAAAGTTACTAAGGTAAATCAAGATCACTTTCATGACATCAGTACGAATGCTTTCCCAGATTTTAGAAAGCCAGAAGAACCATAAAACACAAGTCATAAACAAATCCATCTGCATATTTACAATTTGCATCTAGTTGCCCTTAGGTGCAAATACAATCAACATGCCATATCAAAATTATTACTTTGCAAAGATAAATGTTTTTATAACATCAGTGATTCTGAAAATGGCACCAGTTTGGTTATTTATTTATTTTACCTTTCAGCAAAATTATTCTTTTTTGCATAACTCTGTCTTGAGCAGAAGGCTATAGATCTGTAAACAACAGATGTCCAGAACAAGGGCTTTAAAACAATAATTTATTTTTGAGTCAATGCATATAATCAATCTTTAACCACTCTAGAGATGAACTGTTTACTTCCAACTTTAAGCTAAATAGTCCATGCTGATTAACATCTAATGCATTATTAGCACTGATGAATTATTCATGCATACCTGTAGCACAAAAGAAGGGAACTTGTTGATTAAATGGTTAACAACCAAATTTTATGCAAACTAAACACATTTCCTAATTCACAATGGTTCAATTTGCATTTAATAAAATGCTAACTTAGCATAAAATAGGCCAGTGGATCATGGGACTGCATGCATTACCAGGCCCTTTAAGAACAGACTAGATTAAACCACAGTAGAAATAGAGCACTTAATTACATCCATCCAATTATTCCCTTTGTTTCAATGTCAAAATTTCAGTGGATCAAAGTGCTGCTGTTCTTCCATTTACTGTTAAGCACAGGCTTCTAGCATGTCTTTGTAAAGTGGTAAGCATATTAAAAGGGTAATGTTTCTGTATTATACACTGTTGCCACCACTCTCATAAGTCATTTCACCATTTCTTATGGGACTCTGTTAACAACAGGAAAATTTTAATTCCCCGGGAAGCAGTATGACGTATATGGGTGATCACTGAACAAATTAGCAGCACTCCATTATAATGGAGAACTGGGGGCTAGTATGCTGCTATATGACTTATTTAGTTCACCCGGAGAGAAAGTGGAGGTGGAAAACACTAAGAGTTCCCCCGAGAAAACAGTTGTTGAGTGGAAAACATGTTTGCAGAACCCAGAGGAGCTCCTGGCAGGTAACACCGTGCGAATGGCAAATGCAAGTGTTTGAATGCTGACTCTCTCAGCATTTATCTCCTCTGACACATATCTCCCATGTAACCTCAAGTTTACTATGTTTCATTTTACTGTCTGCCAGTGTGGTGCTAACTGCTTCATTTATTCCTGTGTTTACTGGTAATAAGAGCTTAAGCCAATAAGCCGATAGCTGCATGGTTCTCTGAGCACTGGGTGACATTCAAGGTCTTTGTCCAACATGAGGAGCCAGCAGAGTTGTTTGGTGAAGCTTATAGTGATTGGAATATTTAAATTAGGCCGGACAAGGAAATTTAAACTAAACAGAATGCGAAGGAACA